GGTAGATGAACATGAGCCAAGGTCATAATTTGTGCAGATCCATGTGCGCATTGCATGTGTTCGATTGTTGGAATCTGGTATTTTTTGGTTCTTTTATTAAATTTTTTCAATAGTTCCTACCAACTACATTATTGAATTCAATTGTTGAAATTATTTGGTTATTACATTTGATGTTGCTAGTTGATCACATAGGAAGAATATGTTGGTTCAACTAGTATGTATCAGAGACATTGATTGTGCTAAAAGGATGAATAACAACTGAACACGTTGATATAATTCATTTTACACTAGTACTGATTTTATTGATGTTGCTTGTGTCATTTTCTGCAAGTAAAATTGAGCCAAGTATGTAGCATTTAGTGATGAACAACCTGTAAACTAGGTGGAATAAATATGATGGCTGATGTTAACTTTTTTTCTAGCTACAGTTGCATATTATAACGAGAGGAAAGAACAAGGGGATTTGTCATGGTTGTAGGAAGCCATAGCACTATTTGTTGGACTACCCGACAAAGAAACCATGCCCAATATGCGGCAAGGGAATTGAGAACTGCATGAGGTTGAAAAGAAGACCAAAAACTTAGGAAAGTTGTTCTTCTGTAGAGATGGCAATTTGAACCGTTAAAACCAAAAACACGGTTAGTCGAATCGAATGGGACGAAAAAAACCAAACCGATGGTGCAATGGGGCGGATATGATTTTTATTTTAATGAACAGGTTCGTGACGGTGTGGGTATGACATTTATGCAGTCAAACCGATTACCCGCTAAAAAAAACAACAATTGAATTGATTATTTGGCTTTACACTACTTTTCTATCTAGCCCAAAACAAAATCCCTTCATTACATCTACATGACTCAGCCGGCCAACCCACTACCCATAATAATAGCATTAGTATGACAGTATATAAATGCAAACTCTACTCTCCACAAACCACAAACTCACGCAGGGCTCCTTTTATTGTTAATTTTTTTCTATTGTATGTAGAAAATTCTACTTCTTCATCATACTCTAGAGTTTGTGCAACGTTTAGCGAGAAGAAAGCTGAAGAAGAGGTACATTTTTTATTTAAATCTTAGTTAGGACCATTCTGGAATAGGTAGTATCGTTGTATTCTCTACTTACATTTCTTATTTACTATATAGGAATCAATTTTGAATGTTGATCTATGCTAGTAAGACTTGTGGGGAAGAATGAATCAAGTAATTTCGATGTACAACAATTAAGAATGAAGGAAAAGTTTAATATTGTTATATTTATAATATTGTTTGTTAAATTTATATTTTATAATTGAAAATTGAGATAATGTTTGCATTTTCGTTTGAAATATTATTTGATAATGTTCGCATTTTCGTTTGGAATATTGTGTTTTTGTTTTCATTGACTTTTTTCATAAATTGTTTTATATTAATTTGACGGATGAACCTATAAAAAATAATTTATTTTCGAGGTTATTAACCAAACAGAACAGTACCGAACCGAGATACGAACCAAACTGAACTGATTTACGTGGTTATGGTGCGGTTATGGTATGATCAAAAAATTGGCGGTGTGGTTTGATTTTAGCCGAACCAACCCATAATCGAACCATTGCCAACCATATTTTTCTGCTGTTATAATAATTGCAGGCATTTCAAGTGGCTCGAGGAACACGAATATTATCAGTTTGAGGGTGAGTCAAGCACTACATCGGTTTGGAATTTGTGTCGGGTACGTTGCAGCACGTTGCTAAAATAATCGAAGAAAAGAATGTGAATATTTTCATCAAATTTACTTTCCACAAAGGACAAGGAGAGAATGATAACGGGAAACAACAAGAAGGATCTCCGCGACATTGAAGTGTTTATGTTCTTGTCAAGTTTGTGTAATTCACTAAGTTGTAATGTGTCGGTAGACGTCAAACATCGAAATGTAGGTTAATCCCTAGTGTCATGAAATTTATGTTTGTAATTTCAACGTTTGTAGGCCTCAAACTTTGTAATGGAGATGCATATTAATCTACAACTTATCACAACAATAAACATAATTGCACATTACAGATGTATAGATAATCATAATCTGTTGTCAATGTACAAGCCAACATCAGGTAGTTTTATGATGTTATCTGCTGATATATTCTGCTTTCTCCAAAAAATATGTGGTCATAGCGTTTGTAAAAAAAAAAACCAACAACACATCGTCAAACATGAATGCAACTGGATGTGTTGTGATGTAATCTGCTGATGCATTCTTCTTTCGTCAAAAATGTCGTTAAAATGTTATCTGATGTGTTCTACTTTCGTAAAAAAATGTAAAAATGTGGTCCTACCGACGTATTATGCTTTTAGTGCGATGTCATTTTCCTGCCCTTCACACCCTCATATTGGCAGATTTCGCATCTCCCATGTCCATCAAGTCATCAGCAACATCTTCATAGTTCACGAAGTTAGTTGGAACATCAACAGAAACCGACGGAGTGCAAATTGTTTTTACTGGACTAGATTTCAGCCCACCTGTCCGCGCTTCCCGAGACACCATCGGGGGGCGAATGAAATGGAAAATTTGTTCGCTCTCAGGATTGTGGTCCATTGATGCTCGTTCTGGACCAGTTTACCTTGCATGTTCAGACATAAAATTTATCAGGATGCTCATATTATCCATAAAATATCATGTCTATCATTTAAAAAAAATGAATGAAACGTGTAATAGCTCGTTTGTCCATCGCTCTATCAAAATGGGTGTCAACTGGTTCTAAATTCCCTTCAAACAAATCTTTTTGATGGAAAACCATATTTAGAATATAGTAATTGTGAATCACCATATAAATGAAGATCATACTCACAGATGCCGTTGCATTCGGCCTAAACCGATATTGTATGTTGTGACCCTATTGTCTGCATAATAAGCATGTTATCTTCAGTCATCGGCTACAACTCGTGCTCGCCCAAGCCCAAATCCAATCACTTTTTTTTTTTTTTAGTTCAGCCCATGTAAAATTTAAAATCAACCCATGTAGAGTTGAAAACCAACTCGTGTAGTGGAAGCCTAGTTGCAACAAAATGAGTAAATGGCCCAACTTTAATTATTTGGCCCAAACAAAAGATAAATTTTACTATCCATTTAAACCCAAAACCAAACTCGAACCAAACCTAATTCTAATCCAATATTAATCCTTCCATTTGATAACCAATAACAGGTCCACAGAAATCAAATTCAAAGGGGACGACGATTCCTCTCTCTAACTCTCTTGGTCTCTCCAACTCCATTCTCCAAGACTCCAACCAATTTTTCAAATTTTCAATCCAAAATTTCTATAAAATTAAGGAACCCATTACCCAAATCAAAGATTTCATCTCTTAAAAGTGTATTTTAGCCGGACAAGCAATGGATTTTGACTTGTAGTCGGTGCTGCGAAGCCGAAGCAGTAGAGGAAAATCGCCAGTCTGTCATGTAGAGGTAGCTCAGCCCGAATTCCTTCAGCATTCTGGTTCAATGGTCCTTTTCCATTTCTCTCTCTCTATGTCTTTGAGCCTCTCTCTTTGAATGACTTGCATTATGTATAGCTCATAGAATCATAGTTGTATAGGAATTACTAATTTAGGAAATCTGGAAACAGGAAGCGGACCGAAGGTGAAGAATTAGAATTAGAAGAAGAATAGCCTTTTATACGGACACAGGGATTCTTAAAGTAATAAAGTCACAAATTAATTATTTAAAAAACTGTGGGCCAGTGGTTTGAAGCAATCTGTCTCTTTTAAGTCATTAATTTTATATTGTTAATTGTTTGAAGTATCTTGAATGATTTTCACAAAATACAAAAAAGAACCAATTGCATTAACTGTAAAGTAAATAAAAAATATATTAAAAAAATGTATACTTGTATAACTCGGTAGTAACTTAGATTTTATAACTTAGACCATTTAATATATATATATATTCATCATTAATATTATATTGATTATTGAGTATGAGTTTTTTAAAAATCGAAGTTTTTTTTATTGTTTGTAATTTGTTGAAAATTGAAATGGCCGCCTGAATTTTTTGTTTTTTTTAAGTACCTGACTACTTGAGCATTTTGAAACTTTCTGCTTTAAGCATTTTTAAAATTTCTGCTTTGAGAATTCAATTGTCAACATGCTTAATTGAATTATTTTTTCAATTTTAAATGATGCAGTAAATTTATATCATTATGAAGGCACAGTCTAGTCTCGATCCAGCAGACATGTAGGAAAAGCAAATTGCAGAAGCTTAATATACTCCATTGTTCCTTGTAAGTAAATGCCCTCGTTTCTCCACTTGTTGTTTGCCGGCAAAATATTGAATTAGTTAATTAACTATTGTTGAAATGTTGCATTGTCGGCTTAATAACTTCTTGTTGTCATGTTGCCTTGTCGGCTTAATGATTGTTTTTGTTGTCTTGTTGGTTTAATGATTGTTGTTGTTACCTTGTGAACTTAATGGATTATTTTTTTATTTTCGCTAGAATAATATCACCGATAATTGATTTTTTCTTTTTTACTTTTTTTGCAATTTTAAGAATCGAAAATGGAAGCTCAACCTCTCCTCAAGAAGAATAAAAACTTGTTTTCGTTCTTTGAAAGGGCTAATCAACCTACTGAAAGTACAACTTCTGATGGACTAGCTGAAGATCTACCTACATTTCCTTCGGAAGTTGAATGTCATTCATCCGCAAATATTAGCATTGAACGGGAACCGGGGAGAAGAAAGCAAATACTAGAATTTCCTTCTAATTTGCGGGATGAAATTAGAGTAGCATATCTAAAAGCTGAGCCTTATCAACCAAAACTTGTTGAGTATCCTAAAACACAAGAAAAATCTCAGTCTCGTCGCTTTCAGACAAAATTGGTCAACCAATTTCCTTAGTTAGAATATTTACCTATAACGGATAGAGCATATTGTCTTTATTGTTGTGTTTTTCGGAATGATGGTAATCTGTCCAATTGTTCGGCATTGGTAACTTCTGGATATAACCAGTGAAAGAGGGTTAATGACGGAGCAAAATGTGTATTCTTACTCATTTGCGATCATCGGAAAATAATATGTGTGAGAGAAGAGCTAAATATTTGATGAAACCCTCTCAACATATTGATAGAATGATGCATACCATATCGAATGAAGAAGTTGAGAAACATCGTCTATTTTTAAAGACTTCAATTCGAAGTGCACGTTGGTTAGCATTTCAAAGTTGTTCCTTCAAAGGTCATAATGAATCTTCCTCTTCATTAAATCACAGGAATTTTATTGAGATGATAAAATTTTTGGCAGAAAAGAATACAGAAATTGATAACCTTGTGTTGAAAAATGCTCCAAAAAATGCTCAATACATTGCTCCGAGTATTCAAAAAGAAATCTTACACATAATGGTGAATAGAGTAAGAAAGATGATTTGTGAAGAAATTATGGATACATTTGTATTCTTGTTAATAAAGCACAAGATGCATCTTAAGAGAGAACAAATGACTATTATTTTGAGGTTTGTGAATGATCAGGGTATTTTGACAGACTGCTACTTTGATATCAAAAGCGTCGGCGATACCACATCATCAAGTCTAAAAAATGAGATTGTAAATGTTCTTGCTCAACATGAACTTGAAGTGGCAAAAATGAGAGGCCAAGGATATGATGATGCTAATAATATGCGGGGTGCTTGGAATGGACTTCAGGCATTATTTCTTAAAGATTATTTGTTTGCGTATTACGTCCACTGTTTTGCTCGTCGATTACAATTGGTATTGGTTTATGCAGCTAAAGAAGTTGATGTTATTTGGGAGTTCTTTTCTCATCTGGACAATATTATCAACATTATCACTTCTTTCCCTAAGCGCATTATGGAGTTACAATTTGTTCAAAGAAATGAAATTGAGCATATGTTAGCTACTGGAGAGCGTGAATTGGGAAGTGGAGTAAATCAAGTGGGTAATTTACAACAATCAGGAGCTACTTGCTGGAGTTCTCATTATGATTCTAGAAAGAGCTTAATAGATATGTATAATGCAACTTGCAAAGTGTTTGAAAGTCTTAGTGTTCATTGTCCAACTGGAAGATCTCGAGGCAAAGTTCGTGGTACTTCCAAACATATGAAAAGTTTTGATTTCGTGTTCAGTTTCATTTAATGCATACCATCATGAGAATAACCGATGTTCTTTGTCAAGCCCTTCAAAGGAAATCTCAAGACATTCTGACAACTATGAGATTCGTTTCTACTACAACAAAACTCCTCCACAAATTAAGAGATGATGATGGGGAAGAATTTCTTAAGGAAGTGAAAAAGTTTTGCTCAAAACATGATATTGAGATACCCAATCTAGAAAGTTTACATAAGGTTGGTCCTTGTCGTTCTTGTGATCCAATTACAATGAAGCATCATTATCACTTTGATGTTTTTAATGAAGCAATAGATTACGTATTGATGGAATTAAATACAAGATTCAATGACACATTGGTTGAACTTCTCACACTCAATGTAACTTTGGATCCTAGAGATTCATTTGCATCACTTGCTGAGAAATTCTATTCTGAAGATTTTTCAAAGCAAGATATTCGTACTTTGGAATATGAGTTGTGACACTATGAGCTAGATATGCAGACTGAATCTCGATTTTAAGTATCTACACATGTTGAGTTATGTCGACAGTTAACTGAGAGTAGAAGATTGGAGATTTATATTATGGTTACTAGACTGATTCATCTTGTACTGACTTTACATGTTTCTACCGCGACTACCGAGCTAGCATTTTCAGCAATGGTTCTTGGTTCGCTATTGGTTCTCCCTCTCCAGCTACGCTGAAGGTAAAGACATTGGCAAGGTCTTCTTTCTTGGTCAACGAAGGATACTAAAATGGCTCTCACTGACACCATTTACGAGAAGGTAAAGTCGAAATAGGGTCACTCACACATTAGTTTTGTCCTAAGCATTAATAGAGAAATCAGTCCTGGGCCTACCTAACACAGATGTCCCAAAAATAGAGTATCAAAGTGAGCATGCCTAGACATCATCCTGTCTCGACGCTTTCGAATCCTATTCATGAAGGTTAATTGTTGGGAAGTTAACATCGACAAAATCTTTTTTTCTCTATCACTCCACAAAGTCTTGTTGAACACCTCGCATAGATTGTTGAGCAGAATGTCGCTCTTCGACTCAACTGAGAAATATGATCTATTCCATTCTCGTGGGTGTCTCTCCATAAGCCAATTGTATGCCTCTTCACTAAACTGATGTATTTGATGCATCCAATGTCGATAGTCCGCAACAGTGGTCGATTTGGCACTACGCCATAATTAATTCTTAAGGATTTTACTATTGAACCCAGTATTAAAGAAGTTCGTGTACATATGTTGTATACAAAACCTGTGCTCGGCCCCAGGGAACAACTCATCGACCACATTTTGTAGCCCCTTCCATCTGTCCATCATAAGAGTCCAACCTCTTCTATCTTACAATACTAATATCCTCTTAAAGATAAGTCAATAACCATTTCCAACTGCGGTATTTTCTTTCTGAACAACTACATATACAATGGGATAAATACAGTCGTTTGCATCAATGCCAATTGCAGTTAACATTATCCCTCCAAAACAACCCCTTAGGTAACAACCATCAACACCTACTACCTTCCTACAACCATTTTGAAAACCTATTTTACAATAATTGAAGCTTACGTAGATCCCTTGAAATACCTGCTCCTGTAATGCAATAATGATTGTCAAGCCAACATTTGTATGGAGTACCTTTGCTGCGTAAGACCGAGACCGCCTAAATCGCTCTTTTAAATTCCCTACTAAAAATTCTGTTGCATATCTTCGCATCTTCCATGCCACATTTATGCTAATATCAGTATGGAGATCTTTCTCCACTGTTGCCAAAATGAGACCGGTCTTCCAGTTCGGATCAGCCTTGAATTGCTCAAGGTATCGACGTGTCAAGAATATGTAATTGCAGTTTCTATTAAAGTGATCTCGACTACAGATATGCTTCGATGTGTAAAATTTTACTTGCTGCCTCTCGGATGCATCATTTTAGAAGCCCATATACACCATTTACAGCTTGGTTTACAAACTCCCTGCACTCTTCATTTCTCGTTTGCCTTAAATTTTACATTGTATCCATTTAGTACATCGTAAGTTTGAATCGCCTCTCGAAACTCTTATGCGAAACTGAATATTTGCCCTACCTCAAACTGAGGATTTTTCATATCCTGATCAAAATTGAATTCAGGAAAGTGATAATTGCCATCCTTATCGGATGAACCTTGAGAGAGTAGTTTCAACTCATCGAACTCGTTATCGCTGCCTTCTTCTCGTTCTTCTTGATCTTTATCTTGATGGCCATCGAATCCAATTTCAATCCCGTCAGTTACATTTCTATTATATTCGATGTCGTCTTCTTCGAATCCAAAGTCATGGTCAGAGTGCATGAATTCCAAATATTCTTTGCAATCTGTAATACAAGTAAACCACATCAATGAAGAATACATACAAACCACCAAATAGATAGCAACAAATTGTGGCCAAACTTTAAAAATAATAAAAATAAAAATAAATAAATAAATAAATATATATTTTCTCTATGTTTATCTTTCAATACATAATAGAGAATAATTTCATTCAGTAAACTAAAGCTTCTATGGCTAAATACTCCACAAATTAACAATGGGATTATATTTAGTTGGCAGCATTATATTTTAAATAAAAAAGAGTAGCTTGCTGATTCTCTAATCAATGAAGGAGTGTGCAATGATGTCTAAACGAATGTTGAAAAAATAATTTTGGAGACAAGTTCATGTTAACACAAGGCTGAAAAATTTTAAAACCCATAAGTATCAAATTTTATACACCATAGATATACATTTGTGTTGTCCATCCATTGCACAAATTACAGTAACGGAATGGGCGCTGCTTGTTCACACTTGGGTAAGCTATTCGAATAGTTAGCAATTATGGAAAGACCTTGATTTCAAGCTCATGGTTTCGATTTGGGGGATTTAGTGTTTCGAAAATCGATTAGGGTTCATACTCTTCTCTGATTATTCCTGTAAGTTCAATGAGTTGAATTTTTTTGTGGGGGAGAAAGACGTTTTATGTTATAAGGCGTGATTTGGTGAGAAAGTCGTGTTAAATGCTAATGTGGTGTATTAGTTGGCAAATCATTTTACACTTGTAAGGATTTAACCGGCCACCTGGATTTTTCGTTTGCCACATAGACACGTAAAGTAACAGATCAGATCCGATGAGTAATGTGCAGTGACAGATTGAAGTTTAGTGGCCAATGAGACAAGTTTTAAAGTTCAGTGAGTAAGTCGTGACACAGCGAAAAGTTCGATGGCCAATGAAATGTTTAATTCCAAGCTTTTGGTATAGTAAGAAACAAATCGAATTGTAATTAATTGTTCTAATGGTCACTGAACTTAGGTTCATGTCTTTGATTGCTCATTGAAGTTTAAAATGTCGAGTTTTGGTCACTGAAATTAGATCCATATCTTCGATTACTCATCAAAGTTTAAAATGTTGAGTTTTGACCATCGAATTTTGAAAAATGCAGCAATTCACTAACATAAATGTTAAAACTTGAAAAATATCGAGTTTAGATTGAAAAAATATATAATATTTTCCAAAGTTCAATTGATATTTTAAATTTGAATGAGAAAACAGACATTTTAAACTTGTGTGACGAATCAAAAACAGCCGGACTGTGACCATTCCTCATCCATTTCTTTTCAGCGCAATTCAGCATACACCAAAGCAGATAAATTTGTAAAAGCACAATGGCAGCGGCGGTGACACCCACCGGCGGTGGCCTACGTCGCCTTCACACTCGTCCATGGCTCCAAGGCCTCCGCTTTACAACTCCAGTATGTTCTCTCTCTACGCTTGCCTCTTCTTGTCTCTCTCACTCCTCTTCAATCCCACACTCAGAAGAGCCCACAACTATTGTAACGAAGCCTAAAACGAGTGAAAATGAAAGCAAAAATCCCATTTCCTATTTCCCGAAGCGAGGTCAGACTTTAGAGCTAGTGTGCGAAACCTTAGCTTTCAAAGGCAAGGGGCTGTGCAAGGTGGCAGACACTGGCTTTATAGTCATGTGCGATCGCGCACTCCCGGGTGAGAAGTTCGTTGGCCGTGTCACACGCAGAAAAGACAATTACGCTGAGGTGCATTTGTTTGTTTTCTAATTTTTGTTTTGCTTTGTGTATTTCATATGTTTGATGAAATGTCTGGATGAAGTATAAATATTTGTTGAATGAGGAGTTTTTTGTTGTTTTGGTGAAATGGGAGTGCAGGTGAAGAAGGTGAAGACGATATCTCCTCACTGGGACTGTGTGGTGGCGCCTTGTGAATATGCATCATATTGTGGAGGTTGTAAAACACAGAATTTGTTGTATGAGGCCCAGGTCAGGGCTAAGGAGCAACAAGTGCATGAATTGATTGCACACGTTGGCAAATTTTCAGATAAAGACCCAGAATTTAGGGGCGTCATGAAGGCCATCGTTCCTTGTGATATCCAGTTCCACTATCGAAACAAGGTTAATGAATAACTCAACTTAGCAGTATAAAACAATGTTATTTGGATCTTGATTGAGAGCATTGTAGACTAGTTCACGTGTCTTGGTTGTCTTTTCAGCCAGTGTAGGAATACCTCTTCCATTGGGTGGCAAGATCCTATTTTGGGATTATTGTGTATTTTAATGGCTGAAGAAGCATAAATCCACAATATTTCTCGCTCATGGATCCATTTCTATTCCGCGATAGTTATACTTACGAACATAAGAACATCGAAATTCACACATTAGTTTCTGATTAAGAAATATCCTCGTTTCTCTCTTACGGGCTGTAATTTCGTTCACTGTAGTAATTAAACCCTGACTAATGATCTTTGAGATTTAGAAAGAGCACAGCCATACTTTCATGAATGTGGTTTCAAATAAGGAGGGGAAGTTCCATGTTGACTCGACATAGATGTATTGAATACACATTAGTTCAATAACTAGTCCATATTTCTACAAACCAGGCTATTAATCTCTAAGCAGTTCAGCCACAAATTTTTTTGGGTAGCCCTCAATTAATAGATGGGAATGGAGGGAAGGAAGGAGATCTACGAAAGAAGAGACAATGAAAAATAATGAAAGACAATAGATAATGAACAAGCTTTTAAAATTTCTTTTGTTGCTATGCAGATGGAGTTCTCTTTTGGCACCAGAAAATGGCTACCTCCAGAATTGTTACTACAAGAGGGTGATGAAAACAATGAATATGCTTTGGGACTGCATGCTCCTGGCTTTTTTGATAAGGTCCTGAATATAGACAAGTGCTTATTACAAAGTGATCCAGCCAACAGGGTATGATGATAGTTATCTCAATTACACAAGCCCACTATTTTTGATTTGATAGAAATTCACTTGAATTCTACATGTTCTTTTGACAATATATAATTATTATTATTATTTTTTTTTTGGCATTGTCTGAAGTTGTGCTTGCTTCATCTGCTTAATGGATTCGACATAGGCACTTTTTATTTGTAACCTGACAACACGACAGCATATGGAAATGATCATAGATCTACCTGCCTCTTTATGTGAGTGAGGTCTAATGTGAAGCTTTGAGCTTACATTTGCAAATCTGCCAATATGCCTATTTATGAGTGTGGTCTAGTGTGAATCTTTGAGCTTACATTTGCAGATCTGCCAATATATAATGTCCTTTTCATGGAACCTTAAAATGTTGACGTGTCTTTCCCCTTCATGCTATTTAGTAGCATATTCAAGGATAGTTCTCATGACTTGGGATTTTGAAGTACCAGATGAGAATATTTAGAAAGGTAGAGATAATACTTGATAGTTTGTAATTTAGCTGTCATTTGGCAACTAGTGTTTAAGTTATAAGTACTTTTGGTCAAACCACTTTTTATCCTCACATTTATAGAACCTACAAGTATTACCCAGTACCCACATATCCATCACTCATTTTTATGCTATTTATAATTTAAAACAATTTTAAACAATTCCTAAATTTGCTTTTAGTATCTATCATCTTTCTATTACAATTTATATCATAAGACAAAATATTAAGAAAAGTTGACAGAAGAAAAAGTATTATATTGCACTCAGGAAAGACAAGTATTTCTATATGACTGTTGTGTGTACAAATTTAGTTTCATACATATTATTGTTCTTAAAAATAGTAAAATATTTAAAAATAGTAAAATATTCTCACTAGTCTGAGAGAACAGTAAAGCTGTGTACCAAACAATAAATACTGCTGCTATATTTTGCTGACTTAATAGGCACTTTCGTGGTTTCTCTTTCTCTCGCATTCATGCGTGGGGGCCAAAACATAATAATATATTATTTGTGTGGTCTTGAGCTTGTTTTTAATTCTTCTCATCTGTGTTCATGAATGACAATCACTGCTTGCAATAGAGTACTTGTGATGGTGCTGCATTCTGTTGTATACATGAAATTTTTTGGTGTGGATTGCAGTTTGTTTGCTTTATATCCTCGTTTATTTCAATTCATGTATCACAAAGTTAAATAAGATGCTGGTGAATTAATAGGTTGTTGTCCACATATCACAAATGTTTACAGCCCAAAAAAGTATTAACAACCATGCAAACTGCATTAGTAAACCAAACATAGTTAATATTGATTAACATAGTTAATATTGTTAATGAATCTTTAACTTATTCTTCAGGAAATTACTTTCCAAATGTTATTTGACAGTTTTAGTCTACCAATGGGTGTGAGGCGATTTAAAACTTGGAATGGTTAGATATATATATTTCATATGCAGTTTTTGCGCTTTTCCATGAGCTAATTACTTTATGTGAATCAGTTTGGCATTATATTCTGTCTCTGATTTATAGGTTCTTGCAGCTATTCAAGATTGTTGGAGGGATCCACAGTTTGGTCTTTCTCCATACAATGTGTACTCTCATGGTGGATTTTTGAAACATCTGATGCTCAGAGCTGGCAGGTAGTCGTACTTGTCCGGTTCTCTCTTTAGATCTTGTGATGGTTCTCATTTTCTTTTCCTTTCAGATTTGAAACACTAGTATCTAAACAATAGGTAGCACGTACTCCCTTTTCATTTCAACTGCTGTGACATGAAATAAGTTCCAGATTTCTTTACAGAGTTGCATCGAAGAGGATGCTCCGAATGTATAAGCATATGTACTCACAACGTTATATGCGCTATTCAAAACCTAAATTTACTATTGTTGGCATACTGTAACCAAAAAAAGAAAAAAAAGAAAAGAAAAGAAAAGTGAAATTCAAAAAATACACGGTAAACCTCCCTTACTTGGATTTGGAGACAGTTGTCTGGTGTGGCATGACCTTATCTGTTATTTCAAATCACGTATTCAGACCTATTTGAAAAAGTTGTAGAAAACATTTTGATTGAATTTTCTACATTTAGGATCACAGCTAAATATGAAGAGGTGTTCAATTCCCTTCTCCTAGTTTGTTTAAAAGTTAAAATCAGATGTTTCATGCATTGGGAAGAGGTGTAGTAATAGGCTCTGAGCTATTGTGCTGTCATTCTCCTTATTGCTTTAACTTTTCCCCCCTCTTTGATTGGTACCCTTATCCCCTTAATTTTTTCAGATCTGTGACCATTCGATAACTAAGAAGTCTCTCCAAATCTCCAACTGATACATTCATTCCCAACTCATCCTTAGTTTATCACCCCACCATAAGTGCCAAGTTTAATAGAGAGATCATCACACTGCGTGTTCTCTTGAGTTTCTGATGTTCAAGGATGAGATCAAAATTACCTGAAAATTTTAGGAAACGGTAAATAGAGAGGGAAGAATCATTGTAATTGCACTTTTGGTATTTTGTAAGACGAGCATTTCCATTCTTAACAGGATGACTGTGCTTCACACCTGGCAATTACTTTTTTTGCTTAATAATTTCTGGGTCCTCTATGTACATAACGTCAGTATTTAGTGGAAACGGTAGTTTTTATTCTTGTAGAATTTTTTTCGTCATCAATCTAGCATTTCTCTTTAGCATCTGAAAGTATATATTAGATAACATGGTTCAGTGCTCAGTTGATTTATATCTCTGTTTCAGGAACATCGAGACTGGCCAGCTGGAGCTTATGGTTAATTTTGTGACTTCCTCATATAAGCCAGAGCTGTTGAAGCCCCTTGTAGAGAAAATTTCAAGTTTTCCTGATGTGGTTGGTGATTGAATTAGAATAATTTTTATGCTTACCTCGTAATTAATTCTTTTGCAATTGCAAAGGAAAGTTTTTTTTACGAGTTTGTAAAGATCCCTCGGGTGCTAGCCTGGATTGGTCTCTAGATATTTGAGAGAGATTTTGTTTTGTGCATAATAGATATCACGTTGATCAATTTAGAAATTTTTTTGAAGGTGTAGAGTTTAAAACTTCATTACAATGAAAGAGGCCTGTAAATGTATTTTGAGCAAATTTGACTTATAATAGATGGAAGAATAATATAACTTTGAAAGAACAATTTCAGAATAAGTCTTTTGTTCTAAGTTTGTGGTCAATTGAATTAAAGGGGAGAAAGGGAGGATTGAGTTCATAAATGTTGCTACTACAAATTTACTTTTCAGTATGTTAGACTTGCATTGTTGAGGAGGGTCATCTTCCTTTGAATGTTTTACACTGAGTCACTGACTATATAATTCCTACACTTTCTTAATAGGTTAAAGATATGCTATGTAATCTAGTTTCTTATTTTTCTGATGGTACTTACCTAGGTAAGCATCATGAACAATGTAAATACTTCTGTGGGAAACACATCTGTCGGGGAGGAGGAGTATACACTGTATGGCAAATCAACAATTACAGAGAGTCTAAGAGGATTAGCTTTTCAAATTTCAGCAAACTCTTTTTTCCAGACAAATACACATCAGGTAAAGAACAATTGATATTGAATGGCTCTTTGTCATAGCTTATATTTGTATTTCAGTTAGATGTCACCGTTTAAATATAATGCTTTTCTGACGTAATGCATGATTACCCTGAGATTTCCTTTCTGGAGGGCTGGCAATATGCTTAAATGGCTTCTTGCTTGAGCTTGTATTTAGAACTTTTTCAATCTCAGCTTGAAAATGAACGGGGCCAAGCTTTCAAACATCATTAAGCTCATAGCTTGTCTTTTAGCTAATAGGGAATAAATATAGTGTAAATTAATCAAACTGCTCAAGAACCTCTTAGATTTAATTTATCAAACCTCAATCCAGCTCACTCTAGTAATAAACTAGCCAAGTTTGAATAAAATTTCAGGCTTGTTTATGTTACCAAACCGAGCTAGAGCAACCTAAAGCTAAATCCAATTAGGTTCATGTATTCAACTTACTTTTTCTGTTCTCTTAAATATTTCCAGTAGGTAATGCTATATTGTTGGCACCATGCAGGCAGAGATTCTTTATCAGTTAATAGAGGACTGTGCCTGTCTAAAGGGAGATGGTTCAGAAATAGTTCTAGATCTATTTTGTGGAACAGGAACCATTGGTCTTACACTTGCAAAGAGGTAATTTTCCTTTGGTCATTGGTTATTGGTGTTATAGGTTGTGTACCTAACCTTTGTTTCTCCATTGATCCACATTCTCAGGGCGAGACATGTATACGGTTTTGAGATAGTTGATCAAGCAATCTCAGATGCACGCCGTAATGCCAATTTGAATGGCATATGTAATGCCACATTTGTCCAAGGGGATCTTAACAAAATTGACGAGAATTTTGGAAAGTATTTTCCGAAGCCTGACATTGTCATTACAGGTTATCTTCTCATTAGATGTATTATTTGCTGGTTCAGTTATTCTTTGTTGAGATTTGAAGCCAACGTATTCTTATGTGAATTGCATTATTTTTAAAGTACTCTAGATAATGAAGTCAGAACCATGTGATTTGAAACTTTTCTTGTAAATGTTATTGATTTGGTCTTCTATCCTTGCTGCTCTCTATTTCTTTGGTAGGCTGGAAAAGCAATGTATTTTTAGTTTTTCAGTCCATTTGCTTTTATCCAAAAGAAATTGTTATTTGTTGCTTATGACTTTGTCAAACTTTGCAATGAAGGGAACACATTTGTCTTCAAATCTCAGTATAAAGATTGAGATAAATGCCTTCTATTCCAAATAGTCACTATAACTAGAAAGACCTGAATGCAACAAGAAATGGATAACCGGCTAGGTTGCTGAAACTCGTGAAACTAAATAGAAACACATTATACTGAATTACTTACATTTGTTATACTATTCAACTTCTGCAGATCCTAATCGCCCAGGCATGCACATGAAATTAATCAAATTTTTGCTTAATCTGAAGGCAGCACGTATTATCTATGTATCTTGCAATCCTGCCACCTGCGCCCGTGACCTTGATTACCTCTGTCATGGTGTGGTAAGTAGCATTCTGTTGATAAAAAAATTGTTATCTTAGTCATGACAATCTCAGTTTGTCACAATCCCTGGATGCAGCCAGAGCAGAACTTAAGTGGATGCTACAAACTGAGAAGCTTACAACCGGTGGACATGTTCCCACACACTCCACATATCGAATGTGTTTGCTGGTTGGAACTCTGTTGATTCTACCCGATTCTGCATTCCCAACAAAGGATTAGCTCTCTTTCCCTCGACTTATGTAGCTGCTTTTTCGAGGTTTTAACCAGTTTGTGCATTTTAAGCATAAATGTTATTGCGGGTTCACGAATTCATAACTGGTGACTGGAAAGGTTAATGTGCAGTTTCTTGGTCTATATCGATGGAAAATAATAGCTGGAAACTGCTGCTGATATTCCGTAGGGTAGGCTGAGGAGCAAAAGGAGGAAAAGTCAGTTCAACATCACTGCACATTCGAAGAAAAGAGGTTTGTCATACAGTAAAGTATAAGTTATACAGTTGTAAAAGTTGGAAAGCATAATTTCAGCTCTGATTTCAAAGGCTTTATTCTTTGATCATTTGAGGCTTGCACCGTTCCTTTTCTTTTCTCAGATTTCCATTTGTTACTTTTTTGCTTCTTTTAAGTCTTTGGAATGTGCATCACCATATTACATTCAATGAAATAAAAATTTAGTTCATGAATTTTTTACTTCCCAAGTATGGTGTTCAAATCCTCAGAAGTAAACACTTGCTCCACTAGAATTCTGCAATTTTTGTGTACTCTGATGTTAAGAAACTCAATTGCAATATAAGAGAGTTTATTCTCTATCCTACAAGTAACTTTTTATTAGGAGGGTAATTATATTTTTATTGGTCTCAAATTTTACTCATTTTTGCACTGTGTTCCCCAACCTTTTTGTATTTTGGTTGCATTTGTATTTTTAACTTTCAATTAAACAGTATATATTGTCTCTGATGAAGATTTATGTCTAAATTCAACTCTGAGGGATAGCTCAGTAATCAGGTATTGGATTTGCTCCTCAATGGTCACTAGTTCGAGTTCCCTTAGGGTCATTGAGGTGAGTATTCGGCTGTAAACTTAAGGCCCCGTGGGATTAGTCGAGGTGCGCTTAAAATGACCTGGACATCCATGGTCATAAAAAAAAAAAAAAAAAAAAAAAAAAAAAAAAAATAAAAAAAAAAAAAAAAAAAAAAAAAAAAAAAAAAAAAAAAAAAAAAAAAAAAAAAAAAAAAAAAAAAAAAAAATTCTTTTGTATGTGTTTATCTTATTTAAGAATGTGAGGGATGCATAAATCATTTTACTCCTTTCTAACAGATTATTTTTGGTTATTACCGGTGACTAATGTGCTAATGAAAAGAATTGTGAGGATCAAGATATTAAGAATAAAGTAGTCAGCATTAGCGTGAAATGAGCAAAAGTTAATAATAATTAAAATGTAGTGTAATTAACAAAATCGTAACTTGAATATAATTTTAATCGTGGGAATTGTTCACAAAACAATTGGTTTAACGCACTTTGTAATTTTTTGCCGATTTGTAGATGAATTGTCAAGTAATTTTTAGCCTTTTTCACTTTCTCCATGTGTAAACAAACAATTTTATCTTTTAATCTCTACAAAAATTCTCTGAGTATTCTTGAATTACAGTCAGTTTCGTGATTTTCCATTGAATAGTTCTCTATTTTATTTTATTTTTTGTTTTTTTCACTTATAATAAATGGATAAATATTAATGGACATTAAAATAATTGAAATAATAGTCTTATGAAAATAGTTTGAAATTGTCTTTTCACGTCTTGTTTGGATGTGAATTACTCCATGCTTTACTTAGGTCGATCAAGATTGGCATATTTGTTAGTTTGAAAAAACATTTTTGTTGTATTCGCAAACTTCATTTTTTATTTTTCCTTTCCTTTCATTTTGACCCCTATTTCAGTCGGACTATAGGCCTTGGCAATAAATTAATATGAAAATTCATATTTTATTAAAACGAATTGTAGTCGAGAGCTATGAGAGGAAAGTTAGAAGGAAATTTTAAAATTTTAGCTTATTGAAATTGCATCTAAATTCATCGAAACAACTTTCACCACAAATAAATATGACGTACCAATTAACGTCATTTGCGTCTATATCTTAATTAGAAGCTGTAATGCCCTCACTCACCCAACCCTACTCCATCTTTGTTCTCACGCTCACATTCTAACACGTAGCGATATTTCTTCATGAAAAATAAATTTTAAAATAAGAAAAATTTATTTACATAATAGTAAATTTAAAATAATAATTTCACTTGTGAATAGAAGTTTACTAATGAATAAAAATATGCTTCTAATTAAAATAGTCACTCATAAGTAAAGGCTTACACATATATCTATAAAGACATTACTTATGACTTAAAAATTCACTTATAAGTAAAAAATATGTATAAATAAAAAACTCAGTTATAAGTAAAAATTACTTACAAGTTAAAATTCACGCGCAAGTAAAAAAATTACCTATTAGATAAGAAAATCACATATAAAAGTAAACAATCAATTATCCACAAAAAAAAAAATAATAATAAATGAAATAAAATAAAATAACACACCCTTACGTATACTAAAATATTTACATATGAGCAAAAAAAAAAAAAAAAAACATTTATAACCTTATAAGTCAAAAAAATTAAGTACAAATAAATAAAAATCGCTTATGAGTAAATTACTTATAAATAAAAATATACTTACAAATAAAATTATTTTATTGTTTGTTACAATTCTTATATGTTAAATGTTATATTACAATAATCCACAATAATTCAATCCCGTTAAACATATCTTCCATAATTCTTACCCTCATAGAGGGTGTTTGATACTCATTTTTAAGGAAAAATAAATTTTAAAATAGTAGATTGATGGAGAATGTGTAGATATAAAGTTTTTGATTTACGTATAATATTATTTTAATGAATAATGTGTGATTGAAAAGTAGAGAGAGAAAAATACATTTTGAAAAAAAATAGAATCAAACGGGCCCTAATCTTATCCCGTGACGTGCTCTAAGAAAACTACATTAATAACGACTTTGAAATTTTTAACAAACTCCTTTGCTAAAATTAAGGGAAAATTGCAGTAGTGGTCCTTAATTTTTTTTATTTTTTGCAAACTTTACTCTAACATTTATTTTGTGCTAGCAAAGGTTCCTACCCTTTCATGAATATGCACCCGAGGTCCATCTGGACGAGAATCGTTCAAAACACCATCAGTTGATCAAGAAAATTTCTTGAACTATCTACTACCACAACATTTTTATTGGATGCAGATACCTCTTTGGATGATTTTTTGAACAGAGTTTTGGACGATTTTATTGGATGTTGATTCCTTAATTTTTCCCGTCAACTAACTTTATTTTGGGCGATTTCTATCTAGATGGACCTCAGGTGCATATTTATGAAAGATTAGGAACCTTCATTGGTACAAAATGAAGATAGGGTAAGGTTTGAAAAAAATGAAAATATTAGGGACCGCTGTTGCAATTTTCCCTAAAATTAATGGTAGCTCCATTTATATCCACGCTTTTTATAAGTATATCCACTTTTAAAAATAAAATTTTTCTATATTTTAAGTCGTATATAAATTTACTTAAATAGACATAAGTAATAATGAAATTCACACCCATTTGTTGAATCAATTACTTCAATTCTACCCAAATCATCAAAATTATATTCTATCGGACGACAAATTATAATTGGCAGCCGACTACTGTTCATTTTTGAGTTTTACCCATCAGTTCTTTTGTTGTTCTTTTCCATTTTCTCATTCTTCTTTTCCATTTTTTTCAAAATCAAATAATGGCCGGCGGCTGATGATTTTAGGTTGTGTTTGGGCGTGGCTGTAGGGTGGTGGGTTTTGGTTTTTTATGGGTGTGGGGTGGGTGTTTGAGGAGGAAGAACGTGTCTTGGTTTCGTCCAGTGACACAGTAGACAGCACCTTGTTGTCGGAGAAGAACGGAGGAGGGGGACCGGAGGGGGGGAACATTGGGATTTGGGAAATTGGAATTTGTCTTTTGACTTCTGTTTTTTGTTTTTGTTTTTTTTAAGTTTTAATATTATTCTAAGTTTACTCATATAGAAATTTAACATCCACCTACGAATGATCCAGCAAAGTTATCATTTGTATGATTGCTTTAATGATAAAATTGCCTTCTTTGGACAAAAAAAAAAAAAAAAGTAGTCCCGAATATAATGATGAGTTTGCCAATCATAAATGCTAGAAACGATTATTGTTTATAATCCAATTATAATTATTTTATCTCATTTTAAATATCCCTTACTTTGTTCTTATTTCATTTATTTGTTTTGAAAGAGTTTATGGTTTTAGAAAGTGTATGAATCTATAGTGTTAGGAATGTATTTAAAGTAGAATGAATATATAAAATTCACGTGGATATATAATATTTAAATAAATGGATTTAATAAGAGCAAAATTGGAAATGACGTGGATGTTAATAGTATTTTCTTAAAATTTTAAAATTTTATTAGGATTTAACTTGACGTGGGATATCTTTATAAAAAAGGTGGATGAAAATAACAATATCCAAAATTAATCCAAAGTTAATGCTTTAAGCGTGGTCAAACGTTCAAATCGGGCCTGGTACGGATGTTTAACGGCGGGCAAATTTGCAACTCTCGCACGGCCGCTCGCTGTCAGTTTTCTGCTGTCAACGGACCTGAACTATTTGTTCTTCTTTATTTTGATTAAATGAACTGTTTTTCTTTCATCATTTTTCCTTATTTGATTTTCTATTGCTGCAGATTCTAGGAGTTTTTTTTTCCCAGAATTTCATCAGGTTAGAGCTATTGCCGAAGCTTCCTTTTCAGGAATTAAGCTGAAATTAGCGGCTTTCAGGTATATTTCAGATGGTAATTTTGTCTGAACTTTATTGGATGAATTATTGAGTAGTAATATAACTCTGCACACTATTTCAGATGTATGGGCGACACTACAGATGTTAGCACGTAGTGGAGTGCCAAATGTTTGACAAATTGCTTGTACGGTACATTGTTTGAACTTGAGAAGTTGATATTTATTTGTTTTAGGAATTCTCTTTCAGAAAAATATAAAAGTTATCAGTCTGTAGGATTTATAAATATTCCTTATTAGTTTCTTTCGTGATCATAATGTTTCAAAAAGTTATGTGTTTGCCATAATGCTTCCCACCTCTTTGAATATTGCATTTCCCAACTCTAAGACTGCATTTAGTTGCTGGGAATGGGATATTTTTCAGCTTTGAATACTTTGAATACTTCTCCATGTATTTCAGTCGTAGTGCCTAAACTCCATGCACCGAAAGTTTTTTTTCCCCTTCATTTAAGAAGTCATTAATCTTGTGTGGCACAGTGGTTAGCATACTTCCATTTTCAATAAGACATAATTGATGAATAACCGTTGCTCCTCTGGCCTTCATTAAACTGGTATTTGGTTAAACAATCATTTTTTAAATTTATTCGTGGACTTGTGAACTTTTACCTATTTGCAATGCAATTTTTCCCTGAACTAAGGGCTTAGCTTTAAAAAATTTGAAGGTTTTAGCGGCATCTTAAAAGCTTATGACCCTAATGCAAAAGTTCATATTTCTACATGCTTGTGTTTGGTACTTAAAAACTAGTATGTAGCTGATAATGTAACTACAGAGGAATAAGAATAGAATTTCTGAATTGTATTTCTCTAACAAAAGTTTACTACTTATAGAGCACAATGACCACAAATCTAGGAAACTAATTCTGCACAAAGAAATAGGCAAAAAAATCTCTCTAGGAGATATTAGACCCTAATTACCAGATTTTTAGCAATTAAATTAGGAAAGAAATCAATTTATTTACAACTATACAATCTTGGAATCTAATCTGGGATTTTATTCCCTTTTTGGCCGTGCCAAACATATCCTTGAGGATTTGTTAACATCTTGCTCAAGCTGGCAAGAAAATGTTGTCCATGTCCAACTTGTTTGTTATTCATTGGAATGAGTGGTTTGGTAGTCCCTTGGTAAGCACGTCAGCAAGCTGTCCATCTATTGGGACATAGGGAGTGCAGATTAGATTACAATCTAATTTTTCTTTGATAAAATGTGGATCCACTTCTACGTATTTAGTACGATCATACTATGCCATATTGTGAGCTATGATAATTTTGAGCCATAAAAGCTCACAAGCTTCATGTGCCATAGTTCTAAATTCTGCATAAGCACTTGATCTGGATACCACAGCCTGGTTGTTACTCTTCCATGTCACCAAATTTCCTCCTAAGAAGGTAGGATACCCAGATGTCAACTTGCGATCAACAATTTAACTTGCCCAGTTTGCATTTGTGTAGGATTATATACTCAATTCTTTGTCATTTTTGGGAACACCTTTTCCTGGTGTAGACTTCAAATATTGTAAGATTCAATGAACATTTCTAAGTGACTCCCTTGGAGAATGCATAAACTTACCACATTTAAAACATAAGTGATATCTGACCTCGTATGAGACAAAGAAATGAGTTTTCCAACTAATCTTTGATATTCACTCCTTGTATACCATTATGTACTTAGTAGCTTTGCCTAGCTTGTGATTTTGTTCAATGGGAATTTCAGAAGGTTGTAGTATTTCTGTCTCTTGCAGTAGATCAAGAATGTATTTTGCTGGGAAATTAATATGCCATTTTTCGAGTATGCCACTTCAATCTCCAAGAAGTATTTCAACTTTCCCAATTCTTTTAGTTCAAATTCTTTAGCCAGCTGCTTTCTAAGCTTCTCAATTTCTTCAAGATCATTTATGTTATGATGATATCATCAACACAAACAATTAGGATACTGATTTTACTATTTCTTATTTTTTTTACGAAGAGTGTATGATTGTTAGAGATGACAAATTGGCTCGTTGGCTCGAAAAAAGCCGGAGCCTCGAGCTGGCAACGGGCATGCTGCCTTTTCCAACTTTACAAGTCTGTACACAGGCAGGCTGCTGCTTTCATGAAACATAAAACAAAATAAATCGAGCCAGCTTGGCTCGGTAAGCTCGAGCCAAAACCTAGGGTCAAGCCTCTTTTTTTGGCCGAGCTTTTCTTCGGCTCGATTTGAGCCAAAAAAAGCTGAGCCGAGCCTTGAGTTTGGGCTCGCGAGCTGGCTCAACTCGGCTCGTTGACACCCCTAATGATTTTCTTGTCATTATTGAAATGCCATTTGTTTAATTGTAGTGGTAAATCTTCCAAAACCATGTTCTAGGAGAATGCTTCAATCCATATAGAGCTTTCTTCAATCTACATACATTATTACACTAATAACCCCAAAACTCGTGGTAAATTCAAGAGGTGCATCCATATGGACTTCTACCTCCAAATCATCATGCAAGAATGCATTTTTTTTACATCAAATTGCTGCAAAGACCATTGGATGTTAGCTGCTAAGGACATATAAACGCTAATAGTTTAATTTTGCTGTTGAAGCAAATGTTTCTTAATAGTCTACCCCATACATTTGAGTGTACCATTTTGCTACAAGCCTCGCTTTATCTTTCCAACGTACCATCAACATTATATTTTACAATATGCATACATTTGCATCCCACTGGTCTTTTTCCTTTTGGCAATTCATCAACCTGCGGCATCTAGTGCATTCATTTCTTCACTCATAACCTTTTTTTTTTTTTTCGTTCTTTACTCTATGCCTCTTGGACTGAATTTTAATGGTGTGTAGTTTTGTGAGAAATGCTCTATGTGAATATGAGAGTCTATTAAAGGAAATAAAGTTTGTTATAGGGTGTTATATGCATTTTCGTGTGCCTTTTCTGATGGTAATTGGAATATCATGGTCTATCAACTTAGTGATAAGGACATTTTGTGGTGAAGGAAACCTGGAAGACTTTTATTACCTGTTATAGGATTATACTCCTGAGCTTGCACAGGTTTGGGCTCAACTCTCCTTGAATAGACCCGCAATGGCAAATTTGGACAATCTTTCCCCATTTTCTCATATCGATAGGTTTAAGAGAAAGTGGATCAAGGTTTGATTGAGTAGTGGTTGTAGTATCTAAATTTGCGAGGGAGGTTTCTGGTTTTTCTTGGATTTTAGAGTTTGCAAGGTCAATATCAGAAAAACAAAGATTAATTTTATTCTTAAAAAAATGATTGATTTTTAGTAAAGCTAACATATATTTTAACGAAGATTTTTTTGGATTTTGGATGAGAGCACTTGTTCCCTTCTAACTTATACCCTTCTCGTGTTGTAGAATATCCAAGAAAGACAGGTTTAAGAGCTCTAGGATCTAATTTACTACAATGTGTATGAATGGGAACGTAAGAAACGTAGCCAAATAATCTAGGTGGTAACTGATTAGATTTTTTGAATTCTTGGTAGAATTGTGTAAGAACACTCACCAATATTTTATTTCTGAACACTCTTGAAGGTAATTTGTTTATAAGATGAGCTACAGTTAATACTGCTTCTTCCCAATAGTGTTTAGGCACTTGTCTTTATACAGTAGAGCTCGTGTTGTTTCAAAGTGGTGATGATTTTTTTTGCTCCGCAATCCGGTTTTGTTGAGATGTATTTGTACACAATCACGGGCATATTGTCCCTTCTTTTTAGAAAAATGTGATATAAAGTTTAATAAGTATACTTTTCCATTTTCGGACCTCATCATTTTGACATGGGCATCAAATTGATTTATAATGAGTTTTAAGAATTTAGAAAAATTGTACTAACTTCACATTTATTGTTCATGAGAAACAACGAAGTAACACGAGTACAATCATCAATAAAAGAAATAAACCAACGAGTTCCAGTAATATTTGAAATCCTAACCCAACATCAGTTGGAATATATGAAAATGGATATACAGATTTATTAGACCTCAAAGGAAATGAAACACGTTGGTGTTTGGCGAACTGACATTCTACAATGAAGAGATTTTTCATATACACTGTGACGACCCAAGTTCTAAAGTTCAAGTGTCACTGAAATCGTATCTTGAATATAATATTGCACTTTCAAAAGCTTGAAATTTATTTAAATAATATCATGAAATTGTGAGAGTGAATACATAAATTTTTTTTGTCATAACATAAAAGAAAACACTAGAAGTTTGGCAATTTTAATATCAAACCAGTAATTAAACAAGTTCCTAAATAAATAAAAGTAAGCCTATAGGTTTCTTTCTCTTGCCAATTTGCGAGCCCTCTCATGCCTTAATTGCCACGAACCATCAATTTCCTAAAAGGGGATAAAGAGGGTGTGAAACAAAATCTCAAAAGCATATAAGTATATGGATTAATATTTGTATAAAATTTAAGGAACTTCTTACATATATACATAGCGAGGTATGAAAATCTATACCGAACATAGGTGGTATGAAATTTTCATGCGTAGCACTACTATATTCCGGTCCAAACTTAGAACATACACAAAGAAAGAACCTCATATATAATCCCATACAAATACTTATACACTTACCATATCTTGTGAAAATGATAAGAGAAATACTAGATTATATTTGGTACGTCAACTCTTGACCTTCGTACTAAAAAATATACTATATTTGTATTTGTGTGTATTTCACAGAGAAATAAATGGATTTGAAAATGGAACATAAGATGCTTATTAGGAGCCACCATGCTTTGAAAGTTCTAATTCAATTGAACTTTGAGTCTTAAAAGTGATAAAATTTTATCATTATCTCAACCATATTTTAGCTAATGTGATAAGATAATGAATTTAAATAAAAAAAAAATTATTATCTCCATAATTTCTAAAATTAAATAAAGTAGAGGTAAAATCAAAATATTATCTTTGTAATTTAATATTTCAATTTTAATTGAAAGAGATAACATTGAAATATTATCTCAATTATCTTTTAACATTAAATAAAATACATATAAAATTAGAGTATTATCTTAATAGGAATTTGATCTTGGCTCAAATCATTTAAAATTTCAATATAACTAAAAGAGATAAAATTAAAACAATAGCTCTATTATTTAATTAAAATTAAACAAATTTTTAACAACTTGGGTTTAAGC